AGCTGAAATTTGATACTAAACTTAATCTTTCTATATGTAGTGGCCTCCAACAGTTACACTCTTTTGACATCGGTGTTTGACCTTGAAAAGACTTTAAGAATAGAAGACCCTCTCGTTGGCAGAATACGAGCCCTCTACCGCTTCTTTGACCTCTTTATCACTTTAAAATGCCTTCCTTTTTAAATCCCTTTACAGTTTGGGGAATTTAAAAAAGTAGGATGGGGCTAAATCTCGAGAACAGAGTGGATGTGGCAAAATTTCATAGCCACATTCCTGCGCAGTATGAGCCGCTGTTCTTGGAGTGTGTGCTGGCGCGTTTCTGTGAAATAGCAAAATGCCTGTTCGCATCTTTCCTGTACGTTTCCTCTGCATTTTTCTTTAATAGCTTTTCGTAGTCAAGATAAACTGTCATAATTATTCCATCTTGGTCCCCCAAAAATGATAGCATCACTTTTCCACTTGATGGCTGAACTTTTGCCTTCTTTGGTGTTTGGGACGTGGACGATTTCTACTGCATTGAGGCCGAGTTTGACTCAGAATCGTAGTGGTAGACCCATGTCTCATTCATGGTAACAAGTCTTTCCCAAAAATTTAGTTTCATATAGTTGCTTGCCTTGCAAGAACAAAAACTTCATTAGTGCTACTACTACTACCCTCTGCTCAATTTTCTTTTATGTTGAAACTGGAGAAAAACATACCCCTGTTCACTTACAGTGCGCAGGGTGCTTAAGCTAGTTATCAGAAATGTTTCCCAAATTTACATGCTATCTAGAAAGTTGATTGTTGGCTTGCACCCCAAATTACAGGTTTCTACTTTTATTCCTTTATGGTCAGATAAAAAAACTTTTGGCATGCCCCTCGTACACCAACACTACTGCGTTACATGTAGCTTAAACAGAACATGCAGGAAGCTACATCTTTGCAATATAATGTTATATAGACTCGGAATTAGTGTATTCTAGACCGTCCATTGCTAAAAACATTCGCTCTGCTAGTGCACACCTTAGACACCCAACTGAAGGGCAAAACATTAGTCTCGGTGGAGCGGAATGCGCATGCAACTTTTCACACCTTCACCTATCTTGGTTCCAGATTTATATAATCAATGGTTCGCTCCATGATGGACAGTAATTATAACAGACTGCACAGTCTTGGGCTTGCAGTGCAAGTCTAAACAATATTAATCTTTATAACTCTTTGTAATGATGCCAGCTTTGTGAAAGATAACCTTGGCATCTATGCTGTAACTGTTAGAATCTCTACCGTCACATGCAGGAGATATGATTTGATTCCCAAGAGGGGAGAATTTCCATCGTGTGTCTCAGTCTTTCCCTCTCAGTTCGAGTTGGCCCCGACAGGCAGGGTAGACGCCTGCCTCTTAAATGATCTAGACTGTATTGATGTGGGCTTAAAAACATCAGTGTTTAAAAAGAAGACAGTGTTATTCTCAGATAGCCCTCAGCGTGTGTACATTATAGAAAACGCTCAAAGAACCACACTAGTTTTTTTGACAGATAAACTTTTTTCTATCAGCTAAATAGACACGACTGACACGTTGTAGGAATACCTTCATTAAGTACCCTGTACACTGATGCCAAATTAAAAGGTTAGTGTTGGGGGGGGAGGTGCAGAATTATTTGAACTAAATTCTTATCATTTAGAAAGAGGGGAAAAGCCCAACGTATTCAACAATTTACTCTCAAAAATATGATAATTGATAAATGTTTTGTTACACCAAGACAAAATTATTGACATTTTATCAAAAGCAATTTTCCTCCTCAAATGCTGATGTACAAGCATATCAGTATTTTGGTATAGATAGAACAAAGATTAACAAAAGTGTATTTTTTTCACCCCTCCCGAAACTCTCTCTCTCTCTCTCTCTCTCTCTCTCTCTCTCTCTCTCTCTCTCTCTGTGTGTGTGTGTGTGTGTGTGTCTGTGTCTGTGTGTGTCTGACTCTCTGTGTCTGTCCGTCTTGCGTAAATCGGAATTTCCCCAGCCTTAAATGACCTTTACAGATGGGTTCCATCCAGGGTCATATAAGCATCGTGGTCAAGCATGATATCGTCAAAGATTTCACCCCCTCCTGAGCCCCCCACCCCGCACACACACACACAAACGCACACAGTCACACAAACACAGTTGCTTGTTCTTACTGTGTTATGTTATTGCTCGCGGCCAATACAGTGTAAATAAGCATCAACTCCGTCACTTTTATGGGTGAATGCACGGTATTTTGGTACTGGTCTTTTCCACTATCCTTAAGGAAAAACAGACTTCATTTTAGATAAGTTATGGTGTGATTTTACGGAATCAGCAAACAGAATTACGTACAAAATGCATTCTTACAAAGATAAAAGCAGTGTAGAAAGATAGGAGGGTGTGTGTGTGTGGGGAGGGGGGGGTGTGGAAGG